TTGCCTAATGAGGATGAGGATAGCCCTGAACCTGCACGGTTGGGGGTCAGGTGCACAGTCTCTGACCTTAGACTCCATTTCCTGAACACGATGCAGCCAAACTGAAACCATGACTGCTTGTCTTGGTCTTTGGGCAGATGTATGATTTGGCACACAATGCTCTTTTGGGGCAACAGGTGGGGGGATGTGTGGAAACTGCTTATTAATTTCACAATAGCAGCTGATTAGCCTGGAAATTGGATAAACTGAATTGCACTTGGTTTCACCATCCATAGCAATTCCTGTTCGAGTAATTGAGAACTAAATATGGGTTTAAAGAATAAGCTGTTAATTACATTTGAAGGATTTATTCTGTTAGATATTTTGCTCACTCACATTCACATGCCGGAAGACTTTCTTCCTTCAGTAGTAATCACTGCTACTTTGTCAATGACCAGCTCGCTGCCTTTTATTTCCATTACTGTTAGTGCTCCAGCACTCTGAAACACTTGAAGATCTGATGTGATATCAATCTGGTGATTTCCCATTCTGAGTTTTGTGCTTACATTAGAGTTGTACAGCTCTACACACGGATATACTGGGTTTTTTCCCAAATAGATGGTAAAAGCTCACTTATTGGTCTAATATTAAACAGTGCCAAATGAAAGCTCCCTGTTTTCAATAAAAGATCAATCAGTGAAAGAATGGATTTCCTGCATGCATTTGTGGCATTGATAGTACGTACTGTAACTGACGGGTTGTGTTACTAATTATGGGGGGAAAAAGCTTTAAATTAATGTGACTCTAGAGTGGGCTGCTTATAAAGTGTCCTGCATTATTGTTCTGTGAATGTAAAAGTGATACCATATCATTGACAAACAAGCGAGTGCCAGCTTGTATATACAGTAGAGACTCTCTCATGTGTGACAGGAGTGATCAGTGTCGGGGGTGGAGGATGTGAAGAAACCATTTGAAAACAGGGGAAAAAAAAAAAACTTTGACGCAAGCGTTTTGTTTTCATAGGCAACATTTTTATCCCCGTGTTTCCCTAGAAAGAAGCTTTCTTTTGCTGTAGTCCTTTAACCAACAATATTTCTTACATTTAATGACATTAATGACATAGAATATGCAAGAAATAGCAAAGTTCAGATATTTAGTAAAACTGTGTTGGGATGTCTTGTCTACCTACAGTATGATTTACATTGTGTCTCCTTTGTTTCCATTTCATGCATTTTGAAAAGAGTTGACAAGTATATCAACTCTTGAATAATGCAACATAGGAAATGTAGTATTGTTAGGTTACAATGTACATTTAGGTCACTTATCTTTGAAAGCAGATGTTAATGTGAGTACAACCAAGTAATCCAGTGATTGCAACAGCAGTGGGTGTGGAGAGTTTGGGCCACCTCAACTTTCATTTCGAAATGTCATTGACTTTCTCATTAATGTTAATGTTGGGGAAAAAATAATATTTTCTTTTACATGAACTCCAGTATTGTGCCTCAGCGTTTGTATTGATTTGTTTGAATGGGTTGTGAGTTGCTGTTTGATCAGTACCGGCTATGCTAGGCCCTTGTATCAGGAAACTATTAGTGACAGGATTTAAATTCCTCACGCCCCAAGTAAATCAGTAATTGCTTTTTAAGAACAAGTGCATTTTTCCGTTTGAGCAGTGTTACGTCCCAGTGTGTGTTCTGTGTGTGTTTTTTCTATTATGTCCACACTGCTGACCCTTGATTGTTCTTCCTTCCCGATTGGCCCACCATTACACCACACTTTCAGTATGACGTCATCATCAATTAACTCTCAGCCAATCAGAACACATCTTATTCTGCATATACAGTAACATGGAGGTTTTCAGCAAGGAGAGGCCTTTCGTTTGACTTCGGTCCCGTTTGATTTTGGTTATCGCTTCGCTTCTGGTTATTGCTTTGGCTTCGTTTGTTGGTTTGTTTTGCTTTGTGTGTGTGTATTTTCGTATAGCTTCGGCTTTGTTGTTTTTTTGTTTTTTTGTTAGTTTCTTTGTACTTTCGTTTGTTTGTGTGTTCATCCTTGTTTTGCCATTACCTTGCCCCAGTGTTACATGTGCAACTTTTGTGTTCTTTGTACCCTGTTCCTGTTGATTACTCTTGTTTTCCCTTATTTGTATTCCTGGTTCACCTGTGTTTTTGTGTGAACTTTTGTTTATAAGATTAGTTTAGGTTGTTGGGTACACTTTACACACTTAGTTGATTTTGTATTAGTACACTAGTTTAGTACGGGTGAGTGCCATTTGTCTTGTATGGTTTTGGGTAGTCAGTGCAGGTTAGCTAGGGTGTTGAAGACGCTGAAGACCGTGTGTTTCGGGTTTTCTTTTGTAGTTAGATTAGCTTTCCCTCACTGTCCTAGCCAGCTCCATTTTGTTTGTTATTTTCTTTCCTTTGGCACCACTCTAGTTCCTTACCCTTGTTATCACGCTTCCTAGTACCTCACCAAAACCCACCTGCTTCCAAAAGAATTATCTTAAATGTTACACCCTTTTACCCCTAGACACTTGGGGTCGTAACAGCAGACTTCTCAGAAATTCTGACAGTTAAATAATGTAGGCTATATGGATACTGTTATTATTCTAAAATTGCAGTTCAGTACAGCAATAAATGTCTGTATTTGGTTTTTTATTTAGATTTGTGAATATAAAGTTGTGCACCATGTGCTAGAATTAGTTAGCAGAGCATGTAGAGGAAGCTCTTGCTCTTCCTCCTGGGGAGGGCAAACAGTGCAATGACAGCACCTCAAGAACTGATTCATGGCTTGTCTTTTAGTCTTCAGTGGAAAACACCACATTTTTCATGCCCACGAGGGAGTTTGTGGGAAGCAATATGCTCCCCCTTTTATTATGAGACAAAAAGAATCTCACTGATTCATGGTTTGGATGTTTTTACTATGGGAAATGTGTATTTTTTTCAGTGTTTTGCAGATTTTACCTGATTTAATTTACCTGTGCATTAATGTAAAAGTGAAGAAAACATCATGAGTACACTTCTGTAGCTCAGTAACTGTTAAGATAGTCATAGTTTGAAGGGTTTCCAGAACATTTCTGAACAGCTTTTCAACCAACAGATGCAGAATGAGGAACCTCTTAAAACTACTAAGCTAGGATTTCCTGCATTTTTATTCATTTTCAATCAAGACGTTTGCAATGGGAAAAGCCTGAAATATGGCTGCTTCTAGGCTTTTTTTCTGGTGGAGGTTTGCTGCAGTTTTAACCTGCACAGCAATGCACATGTCTATACCTGGTGTTGTGGGCAATTCTTCATCAGAGGAGCAGGGCACAGTCTTGTGCAGATTCAGTTTTATTGAGCTCAGTAAGGACAGGAACGTGCACTGTGTCTGCCCCACAGAACAGACTGCAAGGATTTCCCAGCTTTTATATACAGTACACATGCTCAGAAAGAAGTTTCTTTCACACTTTGAATGTTTGTCCTGTTTTGATCTATCTATGAGTGCTTATCCTTCCCTGTGTGACAAAAGTTGGTTTCACACTTTGAGTGTGAGTCATTTCGTTAGATTCCTATTCTTAACACCTACAGTAGTAGAAGGGAATGAGTTTCTGCAGCTATTAAAGCACGTGGCTGTTATTCTGTCTTACTATATACATGGCTAGACATCTATTGCTAGGATAGGTCTGAACGTTACATTCAATTACATGATGGTTTTCACTGTACTGTTCAGTGAGAATGAGAATACATGCACATGCTCCTCCAACACTGCTGTCAGTAAGAGCCATTACTAATTTAACACACAGCAAGTGCCATGGGGCCTTAGGGTAGAGGGTTGCAGACAAGCAGTGCGTCTGTCACTGATGCCATTGCAAGCTCACAGCCCTGTTGTGTAACAGCACAAAGAAACTAGGACCATATCCTGCCCAACTCGGGTGACACTCAGCCAGCTGCACTGCTTTTTGAAAAAAACAAACGTTTTAACATTTTAAATTGTATCGTAGTAAATTTCTTCAGAAGAAGCACATTTAATATCCATCACTTCATTTTTTTACAAAATAAAAATGAGTTTTATTTACTTCCCAGCTTCATTTACAACTTCCACCACCTTGATTCACAATGATTGATTTCCCTCATTTTAAATAGAAATAATTTTGGGCAGTAACTCTTACTTCCATGTTGCCTAAATGTAATAATATAGTGCAGAGACAGGAAATGGATGTAAAATCTGCTCTCCAGAGGGTCTGGTTAGTGGCTAATAAGCAGAATGGCAGGAGATGGCTTGTATTTTCCTGTCTAACGTGTGCCAAAGTCTGGAAGAAAGCTTTGATTTTTCTCTGCAATGTGATCAAAATACAGATGGGCGTGGGGGTTCTGTGAACCTGCAATATGATAACTGTAGCAGTTCAGGGCTATTTCTTGTCTGAATTATCTTGTAGGCTTTTAAGCCCAGAAGGATGGGCCAGGAATACAAAGGAGAAAGAGACGAACATGTAATCCCATACACATTTGCTCAGTGATGCAATGCTTCATCTTCCTGCAGACCTTTATAACCAATGTAGATATGAGCTTCCCTTTTCATATGTAGGTATGAGAATAGTCTCATGCCTGTGTTCTCAATGCATGCAAATTTACCTTAAAATTACCTTGAAATTGCTGAGCAAACATTGCAGCAGTTTTTGAAAAAGTCCTACAAAATGATTTCGAATGAAAGTAGTGTCATGTACTGTATTCAGCGTAATCCATTTGTCACATCAAATTTTAAAACAATGCTGATCACGTTTGCAGAAAGGAAATAAGCGACAGCTTCTAACATGTTGATGAAAGAAAATTATTTTATCTCCTGCAGTAAAAAAAACACTTGATTAAGTGAGAAAAAGTTAATTCTGATTAATCTCAACATTGAAAACAACGCCTAAAAGTAAAGTGTTGTCAGGTGGGAATGGCAGAAAAAAATGAAGCTAATCCTGTCTGTGGTTTGGGTGCGAAGAAGCTTGCAAAAGCTGGAAATTGCGTCTTAATGTATGTTTTTTTGTTTTGCAGGTACAAACGAGTTTTTTCTGTGGGTACACATGGAATAACTACTTATAACCCAACAACATTAGAAGTAACCAATCAGGTAAATAATGTTTTTGCAGACTGTTAGCCTTTTAAATTTGTTAAAGCAGGAAATGTGTGAGAAATGTCTGATTACAGTGGACGATTCAAGTTTTTAATTTAGGAGAGAAGTAATCACATGCATGTGATCTTGATGTCCAATGGACCCTCAAATTCTTTTAACAAAATAAAAAAATGAAGTCAACAGAAATGAGAGATATGTGCTGATAATTTCCACCATGATTTTAAAGTAGCGGTTCCAAATGAAGTCTTCATTTGTTTTTACATGTTCCATATCCTTACATATTTTCCTGTTTTTTATAGTCCAACGTGATGCATCTTGCATAGAACCTAGTAAACCCTATTCAGTATTGCTTTTTCACATGTGTCACCTTGAAAATATAAGCAGCTTTCCCTTGTAAATGTGAAATATATTTTGTTTTTCTTTGTCAGTGGCCTTATGGCGATATCTGTGGAATTGGTCCTTTTGGAAAGGGTCAGGGAACTGAGTTTAACCTCACCTTCCGAAAAGGGAGTGGAAAAAAATCAGAAACCTTAAAGTTCTCCACGGAGCATAGAACAGAACTGCTTACAGAGGCGCTGGTAAGAGCAGTGTTATTTTAATCCGTCCTGTATGATGGTGTTTGTGTGCGTAAGTCTTTCTAAGAAAAAATCCCTAAATCCTGATACAGCCAACATATTACTTAATATGCAATTGCCCATACTCAGAGTTCATGTTTACATAAGCTGTAGCAGTCCTTATGGGATCTTGAATTACCTGAGTGTTTGGCTTTTGTATGTTGTAAACCTAATTTATTTTTATGATCTGTAAGTATTGTTTTTCATTTGCTCTTCTGGAGAGCTTTCCTTAAAAGCAACCTTTGAATTCTAGGTAATGCAGTTTTTTATTTACATAACTTTAAAAAGCACCCTAACATGCTGAACAAATGTTTATAAAACAATTCAAGACAAGTCAAGATACAAATTCGCAGGATATCTTTGTCTGACCCCCTTTCCAAAATGTGTACTTTTCCTGTGGTCTTCACTGTAATGGAGAGAAATCACGACACAAGCAGGATACAAGCTAAAGTCAGCATTACCCAAGAGCTTTAACTGGACATAACAGCTTAATAAAGCACAACCATCCTAAAGCACAAGGGTTTCTTTACTCCAGAATTAGTGCAATACAGAATCAACATATTAGCCATTACAAACCTTTGCTCTGAAGTGTTTCCTAACATGTATTCATATGGTAACTGCAAAATCAGTTAGGTCAGTTGAGGTTGTGTTGTTATTATTATGTATTTCAATTGTTATCATTTGTAACTTTTCAGCATTTGGTGACTGTAATCTACTGATTATTTTTAGAAACGCTTTATTTAATTAGTGCTTTACGTGCATTGTCCCATATTTTGGAGTTAGGAGACTGTTGTATCTTTCAAGTTTTATGTAAAATGTTAGTGTTTCAAAAATGAGTTCCAGAATGGATGGATTCATTGTAGTCATCTTTGCTGGAATGTGAATGTATAAGATTAACTTGTTTTATTCATAAACAGCACAGGGCGTATCCTAAAACTACTGCTTTTCCTATAGATATCTGTGGATCCTAGATTTGAGATACATATCTTGGAGCCGATATAACAGGTTTCTGAGGACAAGCTTTAATAGATGTACAAACACTTTTTTTTTACTTTCTCTACAGAGGTTCAGGACTGAGTTTTCTGAGGGCAAAATAACTGGGAGGGTAAGTGAACTGATTATATTCAGAAAACTGATTGTCAGGTTTATAAACTATTACTTGTTTCACGGATATATGCAGGATTGTTTTGATATAAACCATTTTTTTAACTCAAACCTGAAGGTGTATTTTAAAACTTTTCTGACTTTGCACTTGTTTCCACGAAGCGTTTCTGCCTTGGCGACTCAGTCAATCAGCATCATAACTCTTCCTAGTTACCTTACTAGTTAACTCTGCTCTTATTTTGTTTTCCTCAAAACTGTTTGGAAAGTGGCAGTCCAAGCTAATTGTTTGCTTGGAGTTTATTAATCAGAGTTATTATTTTGCTTACCTGCTTTGTCTAGAGAAGGTACAGTATGTGCTGAGTCGGCAAAAGCCCTTTTGCAGGGTCTCCTCCTCTAGCTTAGCATTTCCTTTTATTGCACATATTGAACACCCAAAATGTGCACCAGCCAGTAGCTTAATTGATTCCTTTGTTTTCTTATACCACCTAATGTTGTATTGTACCTCTTCAGAGGTTCTCATACCACCTAATTTTGTATTGTACCTCTTCTGTGGTTTTCATGTTAATTTGCTTACTTTTAGCAAACCAAAGCATGAACACTTAGCAATTGAAAAAATGTGCTTCATTTTATAAGTAACTTTGCAGTACCAGTGTTTTAAGAGAGAATATTTTATATGAAACGTAAACGTATGATGTCCCCTTTTTAAAAAAAAAAGCTAAAAAGATGCATCTCCCAAAGTGTGACAAAAATAAGCGATTCGAGGCACCTCTAAATTAATGATTTTCCATACAGATGCAAAATAGCTAATTAATCTGTAGTTATCATGAGTGGAGAAGCTTCCCAGACTTTTGTCAGACCAAGAAAGAAATTAGCAGGTACATAAGTCAACGTATTTTTCTTGAAATAAAAATGTGTGCCTCGAAAATGATTTTTTTTCTGCTTATTACTTAATTCGTACTCCTCATAAATCTCACCACCACATAAATGTACTATACAGTATAGCTTCCTTTTTGAGAATTAAATTTGGTGCTGAGATTTTTATAAAAGTCTTCTTTGAATCTGACAAATAAACTGCTTTATTATGATCTTATTGCGTCTTTCGCTAACTCAGAATAATTTGAGGAGTTTTGAACAAGATAATCAATTTCTAAAACCATGCCAACAAATGATTTTACAGTGTACAACAAGTAATCCGTTGGAGTTTGTGATCGATAATTATATGGCTCAAGTTTCTCTCCTTTGGTTTGGATGAGCATTTTATTTTACAGTGAATTTGAAGCACTCCTGTAAGTTACTTGATATGACCATGTTTATCTCTAAGAAGATAAACAAGGCTTATAAATGTCTGAAACCACTGTATTGCAAAGAATAATAAGGTACTGTAATATGTCTTGGCTTTATTAGATATTTCCTTGCTCCAAAATATCTCAATAAACAGAAATGTATCTTCACATGCAATAGTATTTTTATGGACAAATATCTGCATCTATAGAAAAGATCTTGAATGAATAAAAAAAACGTAATCTGGTTTTAGAGATTTAGGAACTGTATTAGAAACTCAGAAATTTGAAACTAAATGTTAATTTCATAGCAAGGGTAATATGGAAGTTTGAGATCTTTGTGTTCTGATTTTCAGAGATACAACTGTTACAAGCATCACTGGAGTGATGCACGGAAACCTGTGGTCCTAGAGGTTACGCCAGGAGGAGTAGACCAGATAGACCCCTCTACCAACAGAATTCTTTGCTCCTATGACTACAGAAACATTGAAGGATTTGCTGAGGTCACCGACTACCAGGGAGGATTCTGTATTTTGTATGGAGGTTTCAGTCGACTGGTATGTGTTTTATACATTAAATGATTGAGTGCTCATTTATCGGCTGACTGCTCCCATTACTGACTACTGCTGCTAGAATTGGAAAACTATTAGTATTAGTGTTAAAACCCGAGGAGTCATTAATATTATTGTTTATGCAGCAACAAGGCTGACCTCAATATCCAAGTCCTTAAAATGTGTTCTTCTTTCGAAATGAGGGATATTGGCACACCATTAAGAGGGCCCTCATCCAAGACAGAAACAGCCTGTATAGCAAATGCCCTAGAAAGAGTTCTCACACCCAGAATTGCACTTCCCCCCCTTTCCATACCAACTCACCATTTATTCCTAGGGTCATGAAACAGGACCTCTTCATTTTACAGGATGACAACCGCCAACCACCTCAGCTATGCAGCTTTCTGGTCCCCGGTTCCCTTTTATCATTCACATCCCGATATTTCCACACCATTTTTGTCGCAGAGCAGAAGCCACTGTGTCACCTGTAAATACAGATCTTAACAGCACACGTGTGCTTAACTTAGCTCCTATTTCTGTTTCAGAATTCACTTGAAGGATATCTTGGCTGTCCAGCAAATCTGCACTGCCTAGCCATTTACACTGGGGAAACAGGGGAAAAAGCCCATATCAGCCCATTTCTTTTAAGCCATTTAGCCCATTTACTGTACCTCTTCTGGCTGTGAGTTTCCTGGCTTTTCTATCTGCATCCTTTCAGAGAGATTTTTTTTTTTTAGAGACTCGTATATCAGAAGCCGGAATTATCCTTTAACTTGGTTCTCACAGCTCTCAAGGACTGATCATCCAAAATGGGAATCTGTCCATTCATTTACTGATTACTCCCTTCTACCCTTCACGTGGCTTTTAATACCCAGATTTCCATCTCTTTATGCCCCCCTTTAAGCTCTGTATTCATTCTCACAGAATCACCACCCTGTTTCGTCATGCTCGTATTTCTGCTCTTTACCTCATTCACAAACGTCAGAAAAAGTTCTGCAGCTTAAATGTTTTTAATTTTCGGCAAGGACCCTTTGCTTCTTCTTGTACAGCTCATGCACTGATGCAGTTCCCCACTCTAACCTATAGTTATATTGTTTTCCTATTTTAGGAAAAAGCAGTACTAAAGAGCTATGGTACAGTATATCAGCATAAGTGAAAATAAATTTAATTCTATATTGATATGGATTGGCTATTTAGTCTTGAACAGTTTTTTTTCCTGTTATTTTTTAAGTTGAAGCTGTTAGACGTAGACATTTATAATGCCCTGGTAAAGATTGTTTTCATTTTAATTGATTATCAGATATTTCCTAGATCTTTACTATCTCAGTAATCAAAAGGAAGATTGCTATTGTATTTGCATACCTACAGATTATCCTACATAATTTCTTTCAATTTGCTATTGTTAACCAGTTTTTTCGGGGGCAAATGCACTAGAAATCAAAGTCAGTGTATGTTTTGTATATTATTGTATGTATATATATCAATGTATATAAATCAATTTCTGATTTATGAAATTTAAGCAAAAGAACATTTGAATTGTTCTTTTCCCTGTCAGAAAATTGTAACCCTTGTAATTACTTTGTTTTGCTTTTTACAGCACCTGTTTGCTTCAGAGCACAAAGATGACATTATCAAAAGTGCCATTGAGCATGCTGGGAACTACATAGGCATCACATTGCGTGTCCGGAAGGACCCGATAGATTTTGAGCAGTATGTGAACCACCGGCTGGGCAAATACAGCACAGATGATTCAATAACTTCTCTTGCGGAATTTGTAGTGCAGAAAATTTCATCCAGACATCCGGTGAGAGCATTTGCTGAAAATCCCCTTAACTATTCTTAATTTATCTGGTAGTGGAGTTGAGTAAAGTTTTGGAATTCTGTAATATAACAAAAGAATCCTAATCAATAAGTGAACCTTTTGTGCCATCACGGTCTTTTCTGTAGACTATTTAGTCAATATAAGTTTTTTTTTCCCACTATGTCGGCTGATTGTACCACAACACTAAGCTGAACTCTTAAATTGTTTGTGTTTTGTCTCAATTAAATTAAATTATCCACTTATCCACTAAACAGCAACAAAACAACTTCTCCTTTCGTGTCCAAAAGTACCTTTTGTTCCAACTGATTAAACCAGATGAAAAACACTGGGCTCTGTGCAACAAATGTTTCCAGTTCAGTGCTGGGGTGTGTCACAAACATGTCCATATGTGTTGGCACTGAGGTGGCAAACCTGTGCTGGAGATGGGTGGGTGTTCATTGATGTGGTTTTAGTTTTCTTGGCCTTCATTGAAGCTATGGCTGCTGTAATTTGCGGGGGTGCCTGAAAGCTTGCATTGTCTTCAACCGAGAGATCTGCTTTCAGTGGTCAGTGCTAATTCTGCAACTCTCCTAAAGGGCACTGGAGAATGTGAGACAGTTCTAGCTTTGTAGTGTGTCAAAAGCTGAAAACCTCTGATTTTGATCTGGAGCACTTTTCAGGTCAAACAATTGGCATTTTTAAATCAGATGCTTTTCTAAAAAAAAGACAGTGGACACATCCCACTTTTTCAAAATGTTTTCCATAGTGTTTCAGTTCATGTATGTAAGCCTTGTGGCTTTCCAGTTTGTCAAAGATTTGATTTAATCTAGCCCTTAGATTCATTTGTAATTTTGTATATCTGCAAATGTATCATTTTGTTATTGGCTTCTAGACTCTTTGCTTTGTCTCAATGCCTGTCAGAGTGATAGCTGTTGCCCCTGTTATTAGCAGGGGCAGTGATGAGGCAAGGTTGTAGGTTGTGTGTATCCTGACCTATTTTATTTGCATGTAAAGGACCCAGGACTTTACAGGAGTGTAGATTTTACAACACACAGTACCATTCTGCTTTTCTTCATTTTAGCAAGTAGGTCTCCAGCAGATTCAATTAATTTGTTACATTTGTTGACACACAAAATTCCTTAAAATATATATAAATAAATACAGAAATGTTCAACGTCATAGTAGAAAAGTAGCAGATTGAATGATTTTTGAAGATTTTGTGCAAAAGGTGTGGTGTACATTTTAGCTATAATTAGTGTAGTTTTGTAGGAATTTGATTAATTATATTTTATCTTTTTTCCAGGAACCTGTAAAACGAATATTAGCGCTAACGGAAGCATGTTTAGTTGAGCGAGATCCGGCATCATATAATATCGTAACATTAAAGCCATTTGGAGAGGTGAGTGTTCTTTACTGGAGAGGATTAGATTAATTGCACTTTAGTTATCTGTGGAGATGCTGACTTAAAGGCTGAACTCCATAATGTTTTCTTCTCTGGGATAGAGTTCTATAAATGTAGCAAATATTAACTCTACGGCTCCAAGTATTTAAAATAAAACTGTTCCAGATTTATTCAATTAAATAAATTGGTGAATAAGTCCAAATCCAGAAAGCTACCTGTAGCACTGCTAACTTTGAGTGTACTGTACATCTATGCTGGCTTCTTATTTCACTCAGTGCAGATTGAAAGATAATGGTGTTTGTGCACATTTGGAAAAAACTAGATTGCTATGGAACATTTGAATGTGCAGGATTAGCATTTGAAAGTATTTTCCAAGGAAGCACTACCCGTAAATGAAATTTAACAAGGGAAGAGCTCACCAATTCATAGGAGAACAGACTCATCTCCAGTAGTCATCTACAGTATAGTAGGTCATCAACTGTCTGGTGGCTACCTTTTTCTTTAAATGCTCATAATGATTTTCTAAGAAAACTAAGAATGACTTTCTTATGCCATTTAATGCTTTGAGTCCATGTTTTTCTAAAGAAGGTATTTGTTTTTTGTGACAGATGTTTCTACTGTGAGTTCATTGTAACTCTCATCACATTCTTCATAGAGTGATAAGCATCAAGATATTCACCTGACTTAAATGATACTACTAATTGAGTGTGATTTAATAATTTCATATAATATTCATGGAGCAAAACAACAGTAGTTCAGACGTTCTAAGGAGTGCTGAATTGTGCTGTTTTTTTGGGGATTGGTTGTCACATGTTGTCATGTTTTTCATTCACTAATTTAGTCACATTTGGTATTCTGCCTTTCCACTGATCAATAATGAAAAGCACCTCTCTTCTCTAACCATATCTTAAGTGCTCTTTTTAAATTCCTTAATCTCCTTATCCTTCAGTGGAACCAAACACTTTTCCACCAACAAGTTAAATAAAGATCCTGTTGTTCAGCAATATTTGCTCACACAAATCATAGAAGGATTAAATAACCGAGACAGAAGTGTGCTTTTCTGTGTAAAACACTGTATTTTCACTTGCATGTCCATAAAAGCACCACTGATAAAATACCAGATGATGGTTGAAGTCTCGTTTGTGTTTCATTCTTTTAGATATTTGCACTTGTATGTGATTCAGAAAATCCTCAGCTTTTTACTGTGGAATTCATTAGGGGACAGATCAGAAAATACTCTTCAACAGAAAGGTGTGTACAACTACTTATGTTTTTTTTCCTTATTGGCGGTTTTTATAATGCTTTTATAATAACTAAATATTTATCGTGCTTATTACTACCTAATATTAAGCAATCTTAACTAGGAACAAACCAAAAAATGTATGAAGGACTAATTTATGTCCTTCTTGGACTTGGAAAGATTACAAAAACAGCTTGAAATTGATCTGGGGTTTCCCCAACTAGAAGTAAAATTAAGAAAAAGTTTGTAAGACACTGCATTAACATGGGTTTGTGTTTGCCATTTTATCCAGTACAAGGAATCTGTATTTGCTTGATTCTACAGATTCAAAATCCATTTGAAATCTATTTCAACACCTTGGTCAATCAAATGATTAAACTGTGCTGGGTGGTTTCCTTTCATTTGTAAACTTTGTCGTGTTATCTTCTAAGAAAGGTTTTTTAATGTCAGCGGTAGTTTTTTTTATCCAGCGAGTGTTATCATTTTTGACATTCCTATAGAGATTCCCTGATGGCCAGTCTGCTGGACGGAGTGCGTGCTTCAGGGAACAGGGATGTATGTGTGAAAATGGCCCCCACTCAGAAGGGACAGAGGTGGGGTTTGCTCAGCATGCCAGTGGATGAAGAGGTGGAAAGTCTGCATCTTAAATTCCTTGCAGCACCTCCAAGTGAGTCAGATTACATAATAAATTCTAAAAGGGTTGTAGGAAACTCCTCTATCTCCACTTGAGGCCCAGTGCTAGTAGCCACAAGAATCAGATTACAACTCTTCCGCTCCTGCGGATGTTCTCTGTTTTTCATAACTATGGTATTATAAGTGTTTGTGATAGTGATATAGAGGTGCAGAGGTACAGTTACACACAGAATCGTTGCTTTTGATTAAAGAAAAAGTAGATTTTTAGTTTGTCATGATTCGCTTACATGCCTGTATTATGCATGCCAGAGAACAAAAACGTCAGAAATGTATTTTGACGGGTCTGTTTCAGAAACAGCTCGGAGTGACATTGACTTGTTATATTAGCAGGTTCAGTAAACTGGAAAACCTGGTTTAGGGCATATTAAAGAACGTATTGGAATATATAAAAGGAGAAAATGTGACACTGTTTTTCGATCCAGAAGTCCATTAGTCATAGTCAATTTTATACAGGGTTGTAATGTATTGGGTTTCCAGAACTTTCTTTGAATTTTCTCCCTGAATTCCCCACAAGAGACAGCCTCTTGTCTTCAGGCTTGCTTCTACTTCAAATTTCAATTCTTGGGTCCTTTCTTACACACAGAGGGGAAAGTAGCACAGAGTTACAATGTTACAATTTGGGGTAACTGCCAGCTGCCTGGTGATTTAAGCACAGTTTCTTTCCCTTCCGATAATTCAAAAGCTTTTCCTTATTTCGTTTTAAAATTTTGTATTCTTACATTGCTCTCCCTATCTTGTAATTTGTTTGAGACAAACAGCTCAATCCAGGCTATCTTAAAGTGTGTATTTATTCATAATGCTTTTTTCTTTGTTTTAGATGGAAACTTTGCTGATGCTGTGTTCAGATTCAACGCCAATGTTTCTTACAGTGGTGTGCTGCATGCTGTTACACAAGACGTAAGTGCTCTTTCTCTAACTGCCCATTTCACACACTTCATGAAGTTTGCCTGTCTGCCGGCCTGTGTTAAGAAGATGTGTTACTGGTACTTTGCAGGGCCTGTTTTCAGAGAACAAGGAGAAGCTGATTAACAACGCCATCATAGCCCTTCTGTCACAGGAGGGGGACCTGACGGTTAACAATGCAGAAGTGGAGAGCCAGTTTCATGCTGTACGAAGACTAGTGGCTTCCAAGGCAGGATTTCAGGCCTTTACACAGCTTCCAAAGTAGGACTTCTTGCTTGTGTCGTTGTGCGTTTCTAATGAGGTGTTTTATGATCGAAGCGTTTTGTACTTGTGTGTCACAAGTTCCCAGTTTTAAAGTCCCTTTAGTTTGTGTGCTAGTCCTCATCCCTTTAGTTTTTTTGTTGCTGCTGGTTTGTACTAGAGCAAGCATGTTGTATAGTCACTTTGCAGTGCAGTGCCATTGCAGTGCAGTGCCATTCTCTGACTACATTTCACTACAACACTTCGTACGTAATACTTTCACACATTGTCTGAGTTGCTTAATGTAACGCACGTCATTCAATACTGTTCTACGTGTAAGAAAAACAATCACTAAAAGCAAAAATCAAGCAATACTGGATGGGTCTATGACGAAAAAAGCTTGTAGTGTTCAAATACTAAATATTGTGTCTCATAGTGGTCATGCATTTATCAGTAGGCAAGACTAGATATGCTAATTATTGTCTAATCAGTTGCATTAATGTGGCTTCATTGGCATCTTGAGGTTTTGTATTGAAATGCCAGTTGAGCATTTTTGTGAATTTTGTTTATTGTAAGCTTCCCATTTGCTGAAAGGTGCCTTTCTTGGTAGGTTTCGCGAGAGGCTGGGAGTGAAGACTGTGAAGGCATTGAAAAGGAACAATGATGGAGTCACACATGCTGCAATAGACATGCTTTGTGCACTAATGTGTGTAAGTATTTAATTCTTTCTTTTTGATGCAGGGGTCATGTTCGGTTTAATATAGCCCCTGAAAATGCATTCTTAAATTGGTTTACCAGATATAATGCCACTGTGATCTGAAGAAATGTATGCCAAGTTTCTCCTTCTGTAGTGAATGTAAGACACTAAAAGGTTTTTCATTCCATGACAAGTAACCTTAAACACTATCTCAGTTGTTTCTTTTGTATTATTTCGATCAGTGCTCCAAGTTGTTTTACAATTGTATTTTCTCTCTGTCTTGTCAGGCACTGGTACTTCCCCCTAGCCAGAACATTTCCCTCTAGGAGGCAGCCAGGAAACAAATTATCACGGAGCCATTAGGCAGCTGCATTGTTCACACTTATTCATTATTCATGGCAATTACATGACACAGTGACTTTGATCCCAGCAGCATCGTTAATTGTATTTAGATTAGGTCAACTTGTCAGTTTGTGCCATTTATTGACAGGAAGAATAATATCGACCTTAAAGATGGACCTATGTACAAGTACATACTGTACAGAAATGTTCCTTATCCCCTACATTGCTGTCCTGAACCTGTGCCGTGATATTCCCAGCAATGCCAGATAGCCTTATGATCATAAGTGTTTTATGACAGATGAGAGTAAAATGGCAACCAATTTACTGTATGTAAGGACCAACCTTACATACAGTAAATGTGAGTGGCATTTCAGCGCTAACTGTAATCCTCACCCCATGCTACCATATGACTATTAAGCAGTATGTAAAATACTGATCAGCCTTGTTGCTTTTTAGGAGCCCCTGGAAAACTGTGCCATGCATGTCGTAATAATTGACCAAAACTGTTTATTAAGTTTCAGTGAGCGAAAAAGTCAAAGTGAAATAATTCAATAATTTAAATAAAACCAACCAGTAAAATAATCATTTGGACAGTGTTTAATTATTTATACTTCTGAATTTTTGTATGTTAATAAGTTAATACTATAATCATATTGTAAGAAACAAAATATTTATTAGGTAAATTGTTTGGATGCCTATAAAATCATATTTTCAAGTATGTAATTGCAATGCAAGCTAGGAACACTCTTAAGATTGTTTCATCATTTGATTTCATAATAGGGTTTTATGTGTAACAATGCATTCGCTTTCTTGTTGTAAATACATTGAAATAACAGAACGCTTTATTTGTGATCATTTTATGAAGGGATCCTCGCTTTGTTTTATCAGAGGGCAAAACCCAGAACTTTTCCTAAAATAAATAAATTTAAACAAATTTGTATCTCCTGGCTGCTAAATGTCAGTGTTTTTGGATTCAGTTTCAGCTGGTATGCTATCAGGTATTGTGATGCCATTTAACCAGGCTTTATTGTTTTAACACAATAATCATTGTGTTAAAACACTCTTTTTAGCATTTATAAAATGTACTGTAATTTGTTGCTCATAAGCAATGTTACCTATTATGTTAATAGTGCCATGTCTTTTCACAAGGGCATAAAAGGAGGTCTCCTTTCAGTTACTGCTGCAATCTTTCTGCTGTATTCCTGTACTGCTGATTGGAAAAAGAACCCCTCATCCCCACCTAAAGCTTGTGTTGTATTGCTGGGATTGATTCTTTCCTCAGTTTCTTTGGTTTTTCAGTTTAGTGTGAAAAGCTTAAACACAGCTTCCTTTTTCCATCTTATCCCAGCTGCATGTCTTGCGTTACAAATGTATTTCATTCTGAACTGCACTATAATACCCAGAAAATAGAATCTTGGTATTAATGGAGATAAATGTAAGAATTTGCACTTATCCGCCATTAACTGAATTTAGAGCGTCTTGTCAGCATACTCCAGCTTTCAGTAGACAAGAGGAACACAACAATGCAGTAATAAGAATTTGAATGAGATCAAATCTGAGATCTGAATGAATAATGAATGAATGAGGTTTGACTCAGTAGAAATTGTGTCATATAGTTTCCAATGAATAAACATTTTTTTTGCAGTAGACAAGCATCACAGTACTTTTCTCATTTTCATTTCAGCCCATGCATGATGATTATGACTTGAGACAAGAACAGTTGAACAAAGCATCTCTTTTGTCTTCAAAAAAGTTTTTAGAAAACCTGCTGGAAAAGTTTATCAGCCACGTGGTGAGTACTGTTTCTGTGACTTTCAGTGCCAGAGAAAAACAGACTGAGAAAAAAAAAACAGCTGAGAGTAGTATCATCGCTGGATGAGAGAACTGCAGTCTCAAAAACCACTTCTGTTCACAATATAGGTTACAGTATATTTTACAACTTAATTACACATTATAACACCTTAATTAACAATCTTAAATATAATCTCTAACTTGCTTATGAAGCATGGTTGGATTTCCAGCTCCAGAATATGTGTAGCGAAATACGTCTGGGTTAATGCTGGTCCTTGGTGTCTTCAGGAACACGGAACAGGAGCCCTTGTCATAAGCTCCCTTCTGGATTTCCTCACCTTTGCGCTGTGCGCCCCCTACAGCGAGACAACAGAAGGACAGCAGTTTGACATGCTACTGGAAATGGTGGCGTCCAACGGAAGAACCCTTTTCAAGCTTTTCCAGGTGAGAGCCGCAGCTGTTTCTCCGTGGATAACCCTGGGCCCCCTCTCTAAAGATCGGGTGCTTTGACATGAAAACTAAATGTATGTATTTTTACTTTAATGCCATTTCCTATAAAAATGATAACTAGAGGACAAGCATATACTGTGTTTGGCACGACTGTACACTCTCTTTCTGGAGCAAATTGGGTTTTTAAAAAAAAGTATGTGTGTGTTGGATTGAGAGATTTTTCTAATTTCCAAATCCATGAGATTGTGTTGTCATAGCTAAATGAAGCAGTGCAGGACTGCAGTCTGCAGGAGTGACATTTTTAATAATAATAATTGCTTACATTTATATAGTGCTTTTCTGGACACTCCACTCAAAGCACTTTACAGGCAATGGGGACTCCCCTCCAGCACCACCAATGTGCAGCATCCACCTGGATGATGCGACGGCAGCCATAGTGCACCAGAACGCTCACGACACATCAGCTATCAGTGGGGAGCAAAGCAGAGTAATGAAGCCAATTCATAGATGGGAATTATTAGGAGGCTATGATTAGTAAGGGCCAATGGGAAATTTGTAATGACCACAGAGAGTCAGGACCTCGGTTTTACGTTTCATCCGAAGGACAACACCTGTTTACAGTATAGTGTCCCCGTCACTATACTGGGACATTAAGACCCACATGGACCCCCTGCTGGCCCCACTAACACCTCTTCCAGCAGCAACCTTAGTTTTTCCCAGGAGGTCTCCCATCCAGGTACTGACCAGGCTCACACCTGCTGAGCTTCCGTGGGTTGCCAGTTGTGAGTTGCAGAGTGATATGTGATATTTTAGTCTGAATTGTCAAATTAATATTAGAAAGTAAAGCGACTTCATAATGTCAGAATAATAATTAATAATAATAAGTTTCTGGGTCCTCTCCAGACCCAGACAGTACTCCTTAGAATTTTCTCAGTTATTGAAGACTGTTTGGGAATGTTTAGGGTGTAACCAAGGAATTTGGTCATTGGGCTTTAAGAAAATTACTCACATCATTTAAATGCTGATAAATGTAAAACCTTTAATGAAATCTGTCCTATTTGCACATGAATTGGATGATCAGGTGAAATGTTGTCAATGGAATCAATATCTGAACCTGTAAGGTAACATTTAAAATACATGTATAAGCTATTCTTTTATTTTCAGCATCCTTCAATGGCCATTGTAAAAGGAGCAGGGCTGGTTATGAAAGCCATCATTGAGGTGAGATTTTGTCAAAAATAATGTGTGTGCCACATGTTATTTTTAAAATAAGCCATGCCTGCGTGAATAATACATTAAAGCCTGTTTGGTAATTACCCGTACTTTGAGTTTGCTGCAGATTTCTAAATCAGACTGTCATTACATTAATGCGGTAAATATTTGTAGCTTGTCGTCATAGACTTTCTAATGGATCTCAATGTTGTTAGCAGTGATTTCACATTAGGAGTGGGAAACAAGGAGATAAGAGCCGTTGAGTGCTAATTAGGATTCTGTTCCTCCTTAAAGGGAAGCAAATGTTCCCGAGACATTTTGGGGTTTTGTTTGCTGATCTTGCAGATTTTGGCAAATCTGCTAAATCGGCACAGAGTTTGTGGTTGATTGTAGTTTTGATTGGTATTTTAGATCCTTAGGTTAGACCCCGTTGTAATAAAACTGGTGAAGTTAGGCTAAACATGGTATTCCATTACAGATAAGTGAGGTGGTATATGATAAGGTTACCTGTGTTGTTTGTCTCAGGAAGGAGATAAAGAAATTGCCACCAAAATGCAGGACCTTGCCCTCAGTGAAGGTGCCTTACCACGCCATCTCCACACATCTATGTTTACAGTAAGCTCAGATCAAAGGATGCTGACCAACAGGTGAGTGGCATGCCCCTTTTCAAACACTAAACTAATAAGCACTGCATCCTCGGCAGGTTTTCTTTAAGTTTTTGAAAATTAATTCTCCCTGAAATGTACCAAGAAAGCTGCTGTACACTTATTAGGAAACCACACTGAAGACCTGGTTGGGCCACTTTGCTGATGTTGCTACAGTACCTCCTTTATGCCAGTTCAGCAGAGTTTTGAGATACTTGCAACCCAATCTCATTCCAGTCCATTCTTCTTTAGCAGTAATGCCTTTGTTTGAGGTTGTGAGGGAAAATATGGTGTGAGGCAGTTCTCTCATTATCATTATCATCCATTATTCATGGATGGAGGAACCACAGCATTTTGTGCTGCCTGCGCCAATTTCGTTTCATGTTAAAGAACAATTAACAAAGTCAATCTTTGCTCATTTAGGCAACTAAGCAGACATTTGGTGGGACTTTGGACTGCAGAAAACCCAACAGCTATGAATCTACTCAAGCGAATGCTGGTAAGATCATTTGAAGGCAAGCAGTTTTTTCTCATTTGTTAACAACAGTTTGCAGAAGATGTCCAACATGCATAGAGTGGTCAGACCTATGAAGTAGAAGGTAAAATTACTTTCTGGTACCAGTTAAAATGTATAGAAACTGCGGAGTAGCCAGAAAAAATATGTAGTACAGTGTATAGTTCAAGGCCAAGGCTAGTGTTTAAAATTGATGTCTTGACTCAGAAGTAGTTTCATGCTTGTCATATAACATCCACATACGGTATATGTGGATATGTTGGCATTGTGAAGCAAATTGGTAAAAAAAAGAATGTAAACATATACAGAATCTTCAGGAGAAAACCCAATCATTTTATTCACTCATGTCCTCAAAGTAGCTCCAACAGGTTTGTAATGTACACCATGTCTACCCCTGGGCTAGCAGATGTTTTATCTCACCCTACCCATGTCAAGTGTCTTTTGAGAGTTTCAAGAATGACTTGAGTTCAAACGGTATTTCAGGGATTTCTGGTCATAGTTGGTCTTGGCAGCAGTGTTCTCTAGATGTGGTAACCTTAGGACTTTTTTTGTGTGGGAGCAATCTGAAAGCAGGAATAACTGTACAGGAATAATTGGCAGTGTTTTCATAAAAATATAAAATTCAGATTTCAGCTATGCAGTTGTCTGATCGCATTAGAGTCCAGAATTTAAACATGGGCTAGATCAGTCCTGCAAAACTAGGTGGCCAGTAGACCAGTGGGGTGGCACACTTCCCTTCACCAGAAATTGGACACCAGTGGCCCAGAATGGTCACAGTACTACAATGCTGTAGCAGGTGCCATTCTAGAGATGAGATTTTAAACCGTTTAAAGTTCTGACTACTTGGTCACTAAAGATTGTGACTCATACAAATTAACCCCACCAGGCCCTTGTCTGAATTCCACTTTGAGCTTGCACCATTTGCCCTCTGATATTTCCCACTTTAATTCAATCACTGCTTTCTCACTTCACCTGATCTGTGGAGTGGTGTGCTGCTGACACATCATGGCTGCCACAGTTCACCATACAAGGTGCTGCACTTCACTAGTGAATTAAGCCGATTGCCTCGTCCTGTATATATTTAATGCTGTGGGACTGAAAAGTGCTGTTCAGATGCACGCAGTTACTAATTAATCATTACTGTTTTATGGCACTTCAAGGTCGTGTTCTTACTGCACCTTTGTGTTCTCAGCCAACAGGTTTGCTGGCGTACCTGGACAGTGCAGACCCCGTTCCTGAGAAGGACATAGACAGAATGCACATCAGAGACAATGTTAAAATAGCCACGGTACATACCTTGTTACTTTTGTGTGAAGGTGTTTCAAAAGTAGTTTAGTAGTTTATCTGCCTTAGATTTATTTTTTGTTCACAGAGAGCAGAATGCTATTGCTAATCTCGTAAAAAATTCTGCGCTTAAAAATTGTTTTTAGAAGAAGCCTGTTGCAAACACGTTGCAAATATTTACACTCGTGGTTGTCTGGGGAAATTGGTTGTTTGCAGGATCAGTATGGCAGGTCCAGTAAAGTACCGGAGTGGCAGCGACTAGCTGGTAAAGCTGCCAAGGAGGTGGAGAAATTTGCCAAAGAGAAGGTGGATTTGGTTCTCATGCACTGGAGGGACAGGATGGGAATTGCACAGAAGGAGGTATGTTTTAGCCGGTACATCCCTGCCAATCCCTGGGGTATACGCTGCTGAAACAACATGAACCGTTTTCCTCATAACATGTGATGCTTATCCTTCATGTTGCTGAGGATGGAGATTTAGTCTGCCGGGTCCTCTGACAAAACACACTCAAGTCGCATAGAGGCACATGTCAGTACTGACCAATCTTGTCAAGGTCACCTTAATTCGAATCACAGGGCTGCAAAATACACATATACAAGATGGGCCAAAGAGAACTCTCACATAGTGAGAGTGAATACTGAATAGTTTCTTCACTCTCTGTATCATACCCAAGGCAGTAGGAGTCACTGGGGGCACTAATGTAATGGCAGAGTGATTCTGTCAGATGACTCACGTGTTGCGTCCTATGGTGCATCATTGTCCCGGGAAAAATGTTCCTTTTTGTCCCAATAATGTTTCTGTATGGAATTTAATTGTTCTTCTATACAGAATTCCTGTGAATGTTTCATTCCTATGATGTTTGAATTACCAGACTAAGTTTTATTATCACACTGTGTTTGAAAGAAGTAAAGATGTTGTTTTAAAATGGTTATATCACGTGTGCCACTATATTGTAGATTTTTAGCCCATAGTCGATTTTTTATTTGCCTTTTATTAGACCATAACTGCTCTCAATAATACTTGTGTGATTAGGAAATTTCTTTGAACACCTGATCAATATCAATGTACCACTACATTATGCTACATTATCTTTCATGCACAATCCTTAAATATTTATTTTCATTCTTAAGAATAATGTTCTAAAATAAGAAAACAATGTTGTTAGAAATAACATCATACTTGGAAGGTTCAGTCTTAGCTGCAACCTAGATTAATCAATGTACGTTGTTATAAGTGATTGTGATTTTCTGACCTGCTACCATTTGACTGTTTTTTAAATATTTTTTCACTAATTGAATTAAATGCCCCTTAATGTTGTTTTACAGTCTCTATTAATTTGATCCACAATACACTGTGAACAAAATTGATTTTTTCTTAAGATTCTCCAAAATTAGTTTGATATAAGTTTGTGCAATTATTTGGAAAGCTTTTTGCTCAAAAATGTTCATGAATGAAAAGGGTAATTTGTATTTTAAGGTCACAAGCTTGATCGACAAAAACAATCTGTTAACAATTGTGCCGCAAGCTATTAAATGCTAACTTTATAACTCCAATCAGTAAATATTAAAATCTAATTCAAATGCTTTCCCTATGAAAAATAATTTGTTTCTGTCGTCTTTGCACCTCTACTTCTCCCTGTTCTTTGGCTTTTTGCTGTCAATCAATACAGCAGGACAGGAATAACTTGGTGAGTAGTTACTTTTATGATTTGCTAGGAGAAAAACAAATAAAATAGACTGTATTCAATTGATCCTAGATTTTTCTATTAACTCATCTGTCCATAGATTATCAGAATGCTGGAATGTCTTTGTGCTTGGGTGTTGGTAATCATGGAAAGGGAACTGGGGACACATTTTTGAAACAATAGTAAAGTTATACTGTATTAGCTGTTCCATTCAGGGCTTACATCACAAGAGTGAGTGGGCAGCAGTGCATGTGATGCACTCTGACAGCTCATTTCTACTGATCTGAGGGACATTGAGTGACATTTATCAGGTGATGTGTACTCACAACTGTGAGCAATGGACTCGCAAAGCTTTTCTGTGCTAAAGCACTGTGCTGCCTCTTGTCATCTCATCGGTTCACCATCTTAACTCCTCTTCTTCTGAAACATGAAAGAAATCCCCAATCACAACATTTCAGTTGTGAGATGTGACGATTCAACGGGATTGTTTAAATTTGAACAATCAGGCTATTGGTTGAATTTTAATTCTTCCAAAACAATATCTTTATGAAACCATACTGATGTAGCCCAGCTGATGTTGGAATGTGTAAACTAAACTTTTCATGTGTGTAATTAAAAATACATAGGGAAACCTTCTCTCTGGTTTGAAGTGCTTTAGAAGGGTGAATCTAAACAGGTATTTGAAACAGAATCCTAAATATGTATTTTGTAGAATTTCTTATGTTTCAAAATATTTATGATTAGTAATTTCAACTGTATGCTCACATAGCAAAATTGTAATTTATTTGAATTTTACATATTATAGTATATCATTTGTTTGGTTTTTAGGTCCCGGTGCTGGGGGGGTTATTACAAGTTCTAAATAAAATACTGGATGTTTGTATTAATCTTGATTTTCCTTGTTGCAGAACCCAAACCAAAAACCCGTCATTTTACGAAAAAGGAGGCAAAGAATTAAAATTGAGGTCAACTGGGAACTCTTCTATTACAGGTATGTTGGTAGCGATGGCTTTATTGTAGCCACTTGTTCATGTTGTATTGACACCTGTGTCACCCTATGACGATGTGCGGTTGATCGGGTTTCTCCTGAAACACAATGTTCATGCTTGCGTAGCGCTGAAATAAATAATCTTCAGGGAAACACACAGGATAATGCTTCATAGTGCTGAAATTGTAGTGTCTTTTTTATGTTTGTGCCTTAGCTTGTTGCCGCCTGTCAGTGGGTTTGAGAAGATAAGAAGGAACAGCAATGACAAATATATAATCTATGGAAATTGAAAATAATTAGAAATGTTCTATTTGCATGTTAGCAGATTGGTTTTGATCCTTTGCTTTAACATCATGAAATGGCATAGCAGACATACAGTAGTTTGATTAACACCTTGTTTTCTGTCTGACGTTTCATAAACAAGCTCAAACAATTACAGTTTTGAAGACCGAGCAAGAATTATTTGATCGTATTACATCCGAAGTCCGAACACCCCCCCCCCCAGCCTTGTCTGCGGGAACTTCAAAGAGACAATCTTATTTCTCCCTCGTGGCGTCCGGCTGCCTCAGGTTCCAGCAGGACCATGCCAGATCCAACCTGATCTGGAACTTCAGGACGCGGGAGGAGCTCCGTGATGCCCTGGAAAGTGAGATGCGGGCCTTCAACATTGACCGCGAGCTGGGCAGCGCCACGGTCATCTCCTGGAACCATCAGGAGTTTGAGGTAAGCTCGTGTCCGGGGAGGTGGAGCAGTCCGTGAATAGTTAATGATTTGTTGGACAGATGAATAAGTGTAGCTTCATAGAGTTTGGATCTTTTTGTTGTGCGTGATGGTACCAACTGTGGTTTTAGGGCTTTAAGGATTTAGATATTAACGGGTCCTCTGGCGTCACGCGCACCACTAACACCGATAACGACAAAATGTTGCCATTTTATCCAGAAAATAAAGTATATTGAAAACAATGTGCTTTATCTTCAGTGTTTTGGAAACTGAAAGGCTTTGCTTTGACTGTGTCTTGAATGTAAACATCTGTCTAAATTATGTAATTAGTTCTGTAATTAAAAGTCTGTTAAATTCTTTCATTCATACCCATTCAATGCTCATTGAACATTTGTTCTAGTAAATGCTACTTAAGATTCTCGTTAAGTTGACATGAGTTACTGGTGTAATAACTGGTATCATGTATTTTTTTTAAATATGTTGTACTAAACCTTCTGCATTTAAATCAATATTATGAATCACTACTTTTTTTCCAGAAAGAGAATTGAATGAGTAACACTTGTTTTTGTAAATACTCCTTGAAGGTGAAATATGAGTGCCTTTCAGATGAAATAAAAATTGGAGACTATTACCTGCGGCTGCTTTTAGAGGAGGATGAGAATGAAGAAACAGGAGCCATTAAGAGATCGTAAGTGATTCATTTTTAAGCTTGCTAATAATTAATGTAATAATTAATGGCTTGGCCTTTTTCTCTGGTTTAAGCTAGAACATGGGGATGTCATGATTTATCCAGTACCTCATAAACATTATCTGCTTAAATTAGTAGAATTGTGTATGGGTTTTTCAGTTCTTTAACAGATAATATAATTCTAACACCTGACAAATCCAAGTTTGTAAATAATTGTTGTGTAAAAATAGCATTAAGATTGAGTCAAATAGCTTACTGTAGTAAAAGATGTTTTACAGCCAGTATACACTGAAAAGGACCAGTAAACTGGGGCTCAGTGACTTTCTGTTGAAAATTGGTGTTTTACCTGATGCCTTATTTTAAAAAATAGCAAGAAACCCTAGTTTCACAACTGATGCACTTCCATAGCAATGTTTTTTTTTTTAACAATGATATTTTTATTTTCCAGCTATGAGTTCTTCAATGAACTATATCACCGGTTCCTACTGACTCCTAAAGTTAACATGAAGTGCTTATGTTTACAAGCTTTGACCATTGTTTATGGAAAGTGCTATGAAGAAATCGGACCATTCACTGACACAAAGTACATAGTTGGAATGCTAGACCGGGTGAGTGACAAAGGATGACGGCATGTTAGCCTTTTAGTACTCCCATGTGTCATAGACCTCCAGAGGCAGTTCATGCCTGTACTGATGTCCCGTTAAACTTTTTGCAATATCTTTGTGAGTACAGACAGTAGAGGCCTGGTTCAGGAGGCTAAATGGAGGCTAATCACAGGGGCTATCGTGGGCTGTTTTAGGTTTAAGTCATTACAACACAGGACATGCTGCCATGTTCAAGCTTCAGAGAAGGAACCTTGATCATGAAAAACAGACTAGCTCAAATGGTAAATGGAGGTCTTTTGTGTCTGAGTGATGACTTCCTCTACATCTGTAATCTCTAAATCCACAGAAATGTACCCTTAGCTGAGGTTAATGTCTTGCTGGCTCAGCTATTTAAAAATCTGGATGTGCTTTACAGTACACTGCAGAGTGAGAAAGGAAAGTAAGAAAATAAATGATGTTAATGATGCTGTAGTGCTTCTGCCAAGTTGGTGCCCCGGATGAGAATTTGGATCTGAACCAGGGTTACTTGGTAACTTGGCAGGGATGACAACTATAGCATTTTCATGATGATACATAGTTTTATTATTGGCATGCTTTATACTTAGAGCAGGGTAGAGCATGTCTAATAAAGAAGAAAAATGAACAAAACAAGGAGAATCAATATCTAAGGGGGAGAGTGTAATAAAATAAAAAACTTAGTAACTTTTCATTGTTTGTTTTGAGTTTTATACATAAACCTAAAATAGGCTAATAATACAGTTTTCCATATTTGACTTGAGCAGGGACTGAGGAAAAATAAAGAATAGATAGGGAGCTGTTCAGACCAGGAGCATTTTTTGGTCTCTCCTGACACTTTGTTTTCCCTGAATGAAAAGAACATGTCTGCAACATAAACACTCTGCACACCAGGGATATTAAGAGCATAATTTCAGCAGTGCTGAAGATCACATAACATTAGAATGATTAAACTGGAAAAATATTTAAAGAGTTCAGAGTAACTTAAATGTCTTTATATGTAGTCTGGGGAAATATTTAAAGTTTGTTTTATCTGTTTTTCTACCGAGAGCATAAACTTTGTTTAGTGTATTCAGTTTTCATACATTCTTAACCTCCTGTACCTTCTCCGTTGGAGCTCGCTTCATTATCTCTGTAGTATTTCCCCTTGGGCATTATTTGGAGCCTGTTATAAAACACAGGAAATTAGTGAAAAGAACTACTGACAAGCATAATCAAGTGCTGCTCAACCTTCACGCATAAATAATTTTCACATTACAAGAATGTTAATGCTTCTCAAAAACGAAGCTTCATTATATTAGTATGGCATAAAATGCAGGGTCATTTCTGAGCAAAACAGCATGAATTAGAGACTGAGAAGTCTGTCAACAGCAGTTTTTACAAGCATATTTCCTGCATCAGATTTGTTCTGGCCTGTACCACCTGAAATGTAACAAAACTGCAGCTTTGTTGTCCTGCTCTATACAAACATACATTTCATTACAGTAAAACTTGCTTTTCAAAATCGCTGCTGTAAAATTCAATTTTCTGCTAATTAAAAAAATGAAACTTCTATAAAATATGAAAAAATTACAGGATGCAGGATTGAGTGTTTTGTAGCAGGCTTTAAACTAATAAAAAGCTAACATTTTCTCAGAGCAATAATTAACATGCAGCCCTCAACCAATACCACACCAGTGAAGAGAGAAGAATGCTTAGAATCAGTGTGTCTCAGTGGTGGCATTGCTTTGAATGAATGGAATTCTTAAGGTAGTCATGCATATTTGTGAAGCATATAAAATGCCTACAGATAGCTCTTTACTAAATCAATGTGGAATATGAAAACAGTCTAAAGGAAATTTAACTTAATTATTAATTCTGTTGCTGATGGGTTATTGATAGTTTGCTTCCGATAATTTCTGCCAAAATAAACTATGCTCTGCCCTGATCAATTTCAAGGTGTAAGTATTTTGCGTGTTGTAAGTTCCCCAGTGAGATGGTGGTAGATGTGGCAGTCTCTCTCCACAGTCACTCTTCGGTTTAACCCTGACCTGGAAACTGCTTGATGCACCAGCAATACAATAAATTGGATAAATCTGATATCTCATCAATTCCCTTAATTGACGTATTGCAGTACAGGAGCCAGTTAATCTGCAATGAGCTTCAGTAACACTTGCTAATATGTTATTTTATGGGTCCTGATTTGAAGTTTGTTACAAAAATCAAATCTTGATCAGTATAGAGTGATTTTGTTTTTAGTGCCATTATAACAAGTTCAATAACAAACTCTAAAACTGCATTGTAGCGACAGTGACAGTTGTAGTTACAAGAGAAATTTTAATTTTTGTAGTATGACAGGTAATTTGCACCATCCTGAATACCTCAACACGATTGCCAGCTTCTCGCGGAACGATAAGCAGAGCTACAAAATAGATTTGTGTGGCTAACAGCTCGGCAAAATATTTATATAGCAATGAACTTTAAACATTGTGTTCACGGCTATTTTCATCAGCATTCTCCTTTTCCTTAAGGATACGTTATTTAAGTTATTTAATTACTGTTCTAAGTAGCAGCTGGTTTGAAAACACATCAGAGAGTCGCAGGACAGCACGAAAAAACAGCACTGATGTATTCAGAAAGGGGAATGGAGAACACCCTTCAAAATAAAGTGGCTTTCTTTAAATGCTGAAAGGAGCATAACAGCCACAGTGTGTTATTCTTCTTTATGAGCTATACTTTTGACAATTTTTTTTTCTCATCGATGTGGATAACTTTATCCTTTTTTATTTTTTGTGAGCCTTTTTCTTTTTCATTCCTAACCTTAACTCATGTTGGGCATCTATTTGGTATGCACTCTCTTGTTTCCAGAACTAATGTTTGATTGGCAGCATGCCTGAGGCTTCAAGGATGCTCCCATGTGTAAACCACTGCTCTTCTATTCACAGTGCACTGACAGACTGGAGAGGGACAGGCTTATTCTTTTCCTTAACAAACTCATTCTCAACAAGGTACGTGGCTGTTTTCAGCTCTTTGTAAAATTAAGCCGTGGGTGAAACCTGTTACATTTAATTCAGTTCAGTGGGGTAAATTTGTTGTTTTCAGTTTTGCCATGCCATGTGACTACTGCTGTACAACCAAATGGGAGGATCCATTTCACCTCAGTCATAATAAATTGTAACTGCCATTGTTAGCAACAGAACACATTTTTATTTGTTTAACTGGCTCATTGAGGTATAAAACTGAAGAAGAACTCGGAGAGAGTGCCATGCTTGAATCTCCAGGCTTCCTCTTTCACTCTGCTGCTAAATATGCTCATTTTAAGAGCAGGTTAACCTCTGAAATCTAGGTGTCTTCAAGGGGTATGTTGGGATTAGTCGTCCCTAGGGCCATCTTGTGGGCCAAGATGCAAAGACTGAATTCAGTTCCACATGTGTGGGATGTAATAGGAGAAAAAGTTAACTTTAAGTATTAGTTTGCATGCAACACCATTACACCTGTAAGGTCTGAACTTCTGTGTATTTGATACCACTGAAGTGGGCTAATGTGAAGATTATCTCACAACATAAGAAGTACAACACGGCTTGGACTTATTATAACACTGTACTCTGAAATAGAAGTTGGAAAGTGTAAGGCTCAAGCTTACTTCATATATATATATTTTTGCTACATCATAGTCAATGTGGCAAGAAGGACAAGGGTCAGGGTATGTAAAAATACTGAATACTACATTTCTAAATAAAGGTTTTCTTGTATCGTACTGTTGAGATCTCTTGCCGTGGTAGGAACCTTGAGATTCAAGAAAGGTGGTGTTAGGCATTCATGTGCTCTTAGTCTGGAAATCCTCTTTAATTTATCTAGAAAAATGTGTTTGACACAAGTTGTTAGTTTCAGGTTAAAAGGAAAATACAAATTTAAAGTAAAAAGAAGTGAATGGAGCAAGGATGGTGGGATTTACTTAAAATAATATTCAATAAAATTTTATTAACATTTCTTTAATTGTATTTTCATGTAAGACAATATTAACATATGAAAAATGTGATTATCTGGCACTTTCCGAATTAAAAACCAACACACTTGTGTTAATTTTCTTTTTGGTATTAAAGAAAAATGTGAAGGAAGTCATGGATTCAAATGGTGTTCGAATCCTTGTGGATTTACTTACACTGGCTCATCTCCACACCAGTCGGGCCACAGTCCCCCTGCAGGTATGTCGTTTCCTGTTTGCTGTCCTGACCAGTCTTACATGTTGGTATTATGACCTGTAGGTTGTAAATAATTCAATAAAGGGATGTTATGATCAAAATCGGATCCTGATACTAGTTTACTGTGCAAGCAAATTAAAATGAAAAAATAACAATAATACACTCCCTGTAGCAGAGATTACGGAGGGTCACATGACGTTTTCTTTGTTTTCCAACGCTGTGTGGTAAAAAATGATAACCAAACTTAAAACAGATTTGTTAACAACAATGTAACAAATACACATCTACAGAAATTTTGTATGGATATTTACACATTAGAGTCCTGCTTTCCACAGAATCAGACAATGCAGAACTCTACCTAGCTTTACAGAGATGTTGGATGGTTTCTATTAAATGCTGATGTACGTGTTTTACAAATATTAAAATATAAGTCAACATATTTAGTGTGGTTAACAGAATTATTCAATGTACATAACTTCGACGATGTATTCCTAAAACCATTAAACCTCATCATGTGCATGTGTTGGATGTTTAGTGGGAGACTATTTAAAGCTTCTAATGTGATTCTCTCCAGAGCAATGTAATTGAAGCTTCACCAGATATGAAGAGAGAAAGTGAAAAGGAGTGGTACTTTGGCAATGCAGACAAAGAACGACGTGGCCCATTCAGTTTTGAGGAGGTAACTTTTCCACTGGGTGGTAAGGGTTTGCTTATGGGTATAATGGCACATAGTCATACAATACTGATTGTGACTTGCAGGCACATATTGCACAAAAATTAACCAGAGCTCCAAATATTGACAGTGTTAGATAAGGCATTTTCTTCGAGTAACTGAGAGACTTAAGAATGGTGGATATAGACTGATAAATGCAAATAATTTAAATTGTGTTTTATTGCAAAGAGCGCTTCCTATCCTAGTTGTGGTTTGGTCATGAGGCGAAAAAAAGTTCAACTTCTCACAAAAAGATGAATACAGCAAAGCAAATGCTGCCCACTGTGCTGTGACATGTATTCATGCTTTTTATCTTCAAAGGATACAATCACATGCCTTTGTTTTGGGATGCATTGAAGCCACTACAATTCTAACATTTGCTTCATATAAAACGTACTGTATGCCAACAGAGCCTTTCCATGGACACTCTGATGTTTTTCCACCTTGGCTGTAATATAAGGAAATGCACCTCTATGTTCATTACAATGTGTGCCATGTCTGTGTTTCAGATGCAGGAATTCTGGACTTCTGGTGTGTTGACCCCAAAGACCAGATGCTGGGCACAGGGCATGGATGGCTGGCGCCCTCTGCAGGCCATTCCCCAGCTTAAATGGTGTTTGCTTGCCAGTGGGCAAGCAGTATTAAATGAGACAGACCTGGCCACACTCATTCTCAATATGCTTATCACTATGTGCTCCTATTTTCCCAGCAGGTAGGACAGAATATTGAGTGCCTCTTTTTGATAAATTTTGCAGGATGCCAATTGGACATATTTGCAATTGGACTGCTGGTCAAGTTGCACATTATGATTTATAGTTAGAAATTCAATCATCTAAAACAAATCTTCAAGAGAAACGTAAGAGAAATATTACCTGTTGTAGAAAGCCGTAACAAACACCAGGAAATATACCCAAATATATGAACAAATGTATGTTCTTATTGGCAAAAAACTGTTCATCACAACATCTTTCTGAGAAGTCTGTGTTCAAGTCATAAAGATAAATTCATGTCTGTCTTCAACTTATACATCAGTAAGCATATTTAGATATTTTGTTTTCTTTGGTTTGTTTCTTTTAAGAAAGGTATAGTTTCGGATAACTTAAAGTAATCATAAACTATTACATATGATGCTAATATAAAAAATTAAAGAGCATAAAATCACTTTTGTTACTTTTTCTGATCAGGGATCAGGATAATGCTATTATCAGACCACTCCCTCGAATCAAAAGGCTCCTAACTGATAGCACTTGTCTTCCTCACATTGTTCAGGTAATGCATGTATTCTGTTTGGAATTATTTCAGTTTTGCTTTTAGATTGGTGTCCTTGCTCAGGACTGCATGTGCCATGCAGTATTTTTAATGGCTTTCAGATTGGGTTAAAAAGAGATGAGCCTGTGGTCACATATTTACAGAATTAAATTACTTCTTTATTTGCAAAAGGCCTCAAGCTCTGTAAATAGGCTACACCACTGGATCCGGAGACTGACTGGGTCTGTAATACATGGCATTAGCTCTTTACCATGCTGGCTAGGGAATACTCCTGTGCAGCCTGTGCTGTCAGACGAAAAAACTTTTTAGACTGACTGTGTTGTGTTGAAACCTTCATCCAGAATATTGAAAAAAACCTGGGAGAAGTATTTAATCTTTTTGTGCCTGTAATGCGATTTGTGTATTTCCAGCTTTTGATCACCTTTGATCCTATACTGGTGGAAAAAGTCGCCAATGTCTTGTATCTCATCATGCAAGACAACCCCCAACTGCCTCGGCTGTACCTCACTGGTGTCTTTTTCTTCATCATGATGTACACAGGCTCCAATGTGCTTCCTGTTGCTAGGTAGGAAGACCACTCTATTCTAGCCAAAGTGAGACCTCAAGCAAGTCTGATATCAGTGGCAGTGCTTAAAGCCTTAAAGTTGCGACAACAGTGGTATTGCTTTCGACATAGTTTTAGAAACTAAGAAGTTTCTTTTGAAATCATTAGATGTTTTGACTTAACTTTGGAAAATAGTGTGCATTTTATTTTTGGGGGAGATCAGCAGGGTATATTATTATTATTATTTTGAAATGTAAAATTATCAATTAACCATTTCCCATTGTATCAGGTGTTAGAATTTGGTTGTGGCGTGTGTGTTCCTTTGCATGTTGGTCTTAATGTTATCAAAAGCAGAATTCCTACTTGATTAAGAACTCGACTTCTTAATGTAAGCAACATGAGACCACTTTGCCCATCTAGTCTGCTTGATATTTTTGGCTAATTGATCCAAGGATCTCATCTAGCTGTTTCTGGAAAGAGGTCAGGATATTAGCTTCAACACCAAGGCTGAAAAGCTTGTTCTATACTCCCATTTTTGAATAAAGTGCCTCCTGTTTTCAGTTTTAAGTGTCCTTCTACACAGTGTCCCTTAGTAAGAAAGCATAAACAATGCCTCCTTCTTACCATCTCAACTGGGCATGTTTTTGGGAGGAAATTGGCATGTCATAGTATGACAAGGCCAGTAAATGTTATATTTGTAAGAACGTCTGATAGATAACCTACTGATTTAGTCAACTGATCTTTCTTGTATTTCAATATGGTTATTCAAGAAAGCATTTATTATCTTTGTTAATTTATTCTCCACATAAGCTTACAGAAGCCTCTCTACATTTTTGTCTGGCAGATTCCTGAAGTATACTCACCTGAAACAGGCTTTCAAGTCTGAAGAGGTCAGTGCATTTATATAATATCTTGTGTATCACAGAGAAGCCAGGCTAATACTAACTGAGCATCCAAGCTTCCAGAGTGAAATCATAGATGGTAGATGAGAGATGGATAAAAGACATTAAATCACTAATGTAAATTACATTTGCCCTTTTGGTACTTTTTAGAATGAACACTCTTCCAGCGTAAGGTTAGAGGTTAAGGGGTGCAGCCCAATCACCATATTTCATTTGCATTATGCCTGAAGCAGGAGACCAATTACTACAGCTAACCATTGTTATTTGACAAAAGCTAATTAATATATATACCCTTAATTCAAAAGAACGTTTTGTACAGTACATATGGTAACAGCACTGTATTAGAGCTGTGAGAAAACCAATGCAAGACCCATACTACTTGTTCCGTCTTATGTAGATTTTTCTCCAATTGCGATTTCACGAATGAAAAAAGACAATGGGTTTGCATAGCAGACTGTAGGGATTCTTTTTGGATGTGAGCATCGCAAGAAAACTGTAAAAATATTCTATAATGAATATTAGAATTCCTTTACAAGCACTTGTTTGGTTTCAGTCTAAGTATGGTGATTGTAATTCTTTTGTGGGATCCGGCATGTATCCATCCATCCAGTTTTGAACCGTTTCTTCCGCAAGGATGTTCACACCCAGGGTGGGACAGCAGTCTGTCACTGGGCACACCTAGGGCCAGTTGTCCCAGAAGGCAGTTAACATTCCAGTATGTTTTTGAGGAAATCCAACATATATACAATAAGGATTAAGTGTTTTTATTTACCCCTTTGTAGTATTTGTAGTATTTTTCCATTCCACTTATGTTTATACGTTTAGTAAACTTTTAGATTTTAGATTTAGACATTTAATTTTTAGACATACTGTATGTAAACTGTATATGCAGTGTATAACCATTTGCTAGTTAAATCTTTCCTCAGTGAAATAGTTAAATGATCATCCCAAAATTTAATTCCCATTATGATGTTAAACTATTAAACAGTATAGCTATTCACTATCATGAATGGTCATTGTTCTGTAGTTTATATTAATATAAAGTACACAGAAAATACATTAGAATATCAGCATTAAATAAAAAGCTTAAACATTTTTGTCCCTTAGCGTGTCATGACAATTTTGTATTTATATAAAAGATTCACTCAATTATTCTTCAGAAAACTGTTCAGCTAAGTTTTTTTAACTTCAACTGAACCTCACAGGGGTTCGGTGATTAAATTGAATTATTGTGAATATTTTTTAAATAAAGGATAAAACAATCTCTGAGGTATTGCTTTGAAAAGTAAACAGAATCCCATGTTTAGCTTCCTTCCTATTTATGTATTTCTCTGTTTCTAGTCGAAGGGTCAGGACATCGTGCAGAGAAGTGTCCTCGGTCACATTCTCCCTGAGGCCATGGTCTGTTACTTGGAAAACTATGAGCCTGAAAAATTTTCAGAGATTTTCCTTGGAGAATTTGATACTCCAGAAGCAATTTGGAGCAGTGAAATGAGGTAGGAATACCGAAGGCCCATATGTGTAATAGCTTCTGTCAATAAAACCAGTGACTTCAATTGAAAAAAAAAAAGGCACAATGAAATGTTCAAGAAATCTATCTCAGTGCGAAAGGTTCTCTTTGCATTAATCAGAAGCTGTCTCATTCCAATTTTTGCACTGTCAGCAAACATCACCCAGGCCTGTCAGTTAGGTACACAAAGTGTTATAATGTAGGAAATCATCATATAGCACCAGCTAGTCCTCAGTTGACCTTAAATTCAGCATGAACTGAGACCTACCTGTGTGTTCACTTCTTTTATATGATCTACAAAAGGCCTTTTCCGCATCTGGATTAAATCTTTGCTTTTAAAATTAGTATGTAGTAGTTGTTTCATTTTTGTACTTAAGATAAAAGAATGATAGCTTATTTTTTCATGCATCCACCATAACAATAGTGGGGTAATTCTTGCATTTAATAACAAATATTGAAACAACAATCTGGTAACCTAGTCTGATATGTTTATTTTAATGTTTTTGATATTTGCAACAATTTATGAAGCACATTTTATGTTATCTTTGGTCTTTCTGAGCTACCTTCTATTTAATTTGGTTACCTTCTTCGCAACATAACACTTCTTGCTAAATAAACAAAAGGAAAATGAAGCATCCCCCCACAACTCATTCATGTGCACTGGTAAGTGCATTGGCTGCCCCAGATAATGCTTTAGCAGCATTGCAAGAAAACTCTTAAGGTTGAGATCAGCATCTGTTATATACTAGGAGGTAAGCAATTTCCTTCAGTAGTCCTTCAGAACCTTTTCCTTAGGGAAAAATTCAGTAAGGTGTCTCATTGGCTGTGATCCTTGATACATTTCCCTTTCATTTCCATAGTACATAGTTTCACAGATCCTGATTGACAGTAGTCATAGTTTGATGCAGTTAACATAAAATAGACCGGGATTAGACAAAATTAGTGCCTGTGAAACCACTGGCAAGATGGCATGCCTCGTTTCATAAAATGTTTCCAATTAGACTTGTTTGCTTGTCACATGCTAATTACAGGTTTTGGCAAAGCTGTTAATCTATTCTGGAGTGCACAAAAATGACGGGGAAGTATTTAAGACTTATCTTTCAAGACGGATTATCGAGGCCTTCATTTAGTGTCATTCTTCAGGATGTGACCGTTTTCCACATTGCAGGCTTTCAGCTGTGGAGGCCCACTTAATAAGTTCTGCCAAATAAACATTGCTCGTCTTGTGACTCCTGGGCTCGGGAGGCTGATTTTGTTTTTAAACACTGCACAATGTTTTTCCCATCTGGCCTTTGCTCCATTTTCACTAACATGGATTCATTGTTAAAAGCTTCAGCTTTCAGCTGTTAAGAAATTAAGTTTCCTCTGAGAACCTGTTTGCCTACAGTGGATCAATAGCCATTAGCTCAGACAATGGCTGCTTTCAGCTGAAAGGCAGCACTTCAGGTTTGAGATAAAATACATCTGTGACATGACTGCCAGTCCGTATGGGGATGTACACAGAGCTACAGTAGGGGAGGCCGTCTCAAGGGGTGGGCGGGGCCCATGGTGGGGGGGTTTCTTGTGTGAAGATCATGCTATCGGTACCTTCAGGTGTCTCAATGCTAGCATCCTTGTCGTGTCCGTTTCTTCTTCGCTTCTGGGTTTTACAACGAACCTTTCCAAAGACCCTTTAAGTGCCACACTTGCATCCTCCCTCTTCTGCTCCCTTTTTGTTTTCTCACACCCACTGTAGTATTTTCTAAATTTGTCCCAATCTCTGCTTGTGCTCGCCATTTTTTCCACCAGCTAACTTTTTTTCCAAGCTTAGTAGAGTTGCCGCAATAACTTTTAGCTGGCAACTGATGGCCTATGATGTAGTTAGTGCGGGACACACCTCCAGTTCTGAATAAAACGGGTTCTGAATGCCCTCCCACTAACTTTAGATGTCATCTTGAGTTAAAATAGGAGTTTTGTGTGTCGCTTTATTAAAATATTTAACCCTGTGTGTATTTATAATTTTATGCGTGTGAGTAATCATTTTATTTTCACTGTGCATCAATTTCTCATCATGAAAGCTTTATTTCAGGGGACATTTTAATACTCATTTCAAAAGAGGATAATGACAGAAGATTTAATAAACAGAAAAAATGTTTTAGAGTTGTACTTCTTGGTGTATTAGTTACATTTGGGGAAACATTCAGGTGGGTTTTAGTGGAACCCATGGAAGTTTTTGTCTTAATTGTTTGTCCAGTACAAATTTCAGTTGTATCTGGTTCAGGCACCTCTGTCATTCAAGGTCCCATATAAAAATTCGCCATATAAAAATGTGTTAATGATGAGCAACTCCAGAAACTCTTCATCTTGATAAGAAAGAGTTGTTTAGTTTGAGAGGTTTGGGTGAACCCCAACATTTATGTTGCCAAAAAGCATCGTATTTATTCTGGAAAGTCACAAAGGAATCCTTTCTAATTTGATACAGGAAAAAGTAACTGTCTTTATAGGCTGTGAAATTTAGATTTGGTGTTGATAATTGTTTTCTTTTTCATTTTGTGAATACAGGCGTCTAATGATTGAGAAGATTGCTGCCCATCTTGCTGACTTCTCTCCAAGGCTACAGAGCAACACTAGAGCACTATACCAGTATTGCCCTATTCCTATCATTAACTACCCTCAGCTGGAGAACGAGCTCTTCTGCAACATCTATTACCTCAAACACCTCTGTGACACTATAAGATTCCCTGACTGGCCTATCAAAGACCCTGTAGGTTGATGACACCATTTTGATCCCTTATGGTTTAAACTTAACATCAGTTCAGCTCCATATTTGCCACGAAATTCACTCAAAAGAGTATATTAGAATTGTTTGCAGGCGGTTAAACAAAACATAATCTACTTACCCCAAGCAGAGTTTAATCAAAGTAAAAATGTGTTCTATCCCAGGTTCTTGAGTAGCTTTATGGTAGAGTACTAGATTTAAGTGTGATAGAATGTCTCTAAGTGGCAGCACACAATCGGTTAAATATCTCTAGGACTAGATGTGATTGAGATCAGATTTCTCCAAAGCATGGCTTGCCAGGCACCTGTGAACTTAGTGTTATCATTCAAGTTCCTCTGTTGTCCCATCAGTAAATTATGGGCAAACGGGTCACAGCAGATGGAGAAAGCAGGTCTTTGATGCAGCTTTAGTGTCAGATTACCTTTTAATACATACAGTATATAAATGAACACATTTTAACATATTGAGGTAAATTGTTGGCCAAAAATGTATCCATAGGTGCTGAAAGCATACATCTTGAGTATATCACGGAAAACATTACTTGAAAGACATATTCATCAAAGAATTGAGCAACGGACTGCTCTCCTTTAATTTTAATGCAGGTGAAACTTCTGAAAGACACCCTTGAAGCCTGGAAGAGGGAGGTGGAGAAGAAGCCACCATCCATGTCCGTAGATGATGCCTACGATGTACTAAACCTCCCCAAGGGACAGGGACAGTAAGTGCTTTGCTTCCAAATTGGAAAGTGCTAAAAATGAGCACGAGAAGCAAGATGCCATTTTGTCCATTTGTGTGTGATTTAACCATTTGTATTTGAAGCATTTGTATATTTAGATACATGTTAAGAATAAGAGTTTCCTTCAGTTTTTGTTTTTGCTTTCTGGTATGGCTGAGATAATTCCTGTTTACAAACGGCCTATAGAGTGTTTCACTATGGGATACTGACAGCCATGTTCCTATTAAAATTGATGGGCACTACTGAGTTTTCCCAAACTATCCCTATTCTTACAAATGGATCTGGATTAAACAATCGATTGCCCATTACAGTGTTCTACCTTTATCTAAATGCTTTGACAGTATTAAGGTCATGCAAACATCTAGCTAAGTTCATATGGAGATTGGTTTGAACTAAAACATACAAATAAAACCATTACATTGTAAACGCATCTCATGTTACTGACATCTGCACTGTCTTGTGCTGGATGGAGCAGCTAAACTAAAGAAAATCCCAGGTATTTGCCACTGTCCCTCCCTTTTTCATTAGAAATTTCTGAATATTGTGCAGAGGTTTACAATAACAGCTATTGGATCAAACTGATATATTTAAAAAGAGAAGAAAGGTGGTGAGTGAAAACATGCATTTAGTACAGAATAGAAGAATTAGATTCGCACAGAACGTGAGTCAGTTTTCAATGGATTGATCATTTCCCCAGATATTTGATTCAATAATGGTCTTGTTGTTTTTTTCTTGTTCTACAGGCATGATGAGAGCAAAATAAGGAAAGCCTACTTCAGACTAGCTCAGAAGTATCATCCAGACAAGAATCCAGAAGGCAGAGTATGTTTTGCTTGTTTTTAAATGCTGGTTTCTAGTTGTCAAAAATATCAGACAACTTACAGTTGTATTTTAATGGTTTCATGATACATTGACAATATGGTGGAGTTCAATAACTAACTGGTATTACAGCAAAATTGTAATGATTGCCCCATAGTCCTAACTCTATATACTGTATTAAGAAAACTGGGATAAATCAGTATCCACTGTGTTCTTTTATAAAACTCTCTTGGAAGTAGTAAAGCTGGATGTGATTTGACATTCTGTTGGTAAAGTGAAACCGATGTCCAACAGTTATTCTGAAATTATGCTGAGGTAATTTCAACTCTTCCTTTATAAAAGGATAATTGTAAGTGTTTCACTGTCAGTTATAACACGATTAGAAATTGATTAATTTAATGCTTATAAAGCCAATGCTTTGTAAACCATTATAATGTTTACCAACATGGTTGGAGAAGGGCAGTGCAGCTTAAGGGACTACTGTGATGCTTTCAGTTTGATGAACATTTAATTGGTAGTAAATACATTTTATAATCGCACTCTCTTTTGTCATGGCATGAGGAATTCAGTTTCCTCATAAATACATATTTGGTTGGACAGTGAAACCAATCTATCAATCTCTCAACTTTTTTTTTTCAAAAAAGGATATGTTTGAGAAAGTAAATAAAGCCTACGAGTTCTTGTGCACAAAGTCTGCTAAAATAGTGGATGGGCCGGATCCAGAGAACATCATCCTCATCCTCAAAGCCCAGAGCATCCTCTTCAACAGGCACCGAGAAGGTAGCGTTTTCGTCTTTTTCTTTCTTCCCGTCAAGTCAGCAAAAATGAACTCATAATGTACTGTAACTACTTTATGGTGAAATTTTTTGTTTTCTGCAAATTTTAATTTTTACTGTGAAGAACTTTTAGAGTTCTTCACATGAACAAGATTTGGGTTGTTAGATGACTAGTAATGGCATGGAAAAGTGCTGAAATTGTTTCCGTTTCCATTTCAATCAAAATAAAGGATAAATTACAGTTATTAATTTGCTTTTGTACCTTAAGAAAGAAACAGGGGATAGAAGTGCCAGAAGTTATAGCACTGAGAATTAACAAATATCCCATAGTTGTATAATTTGCAAAGCATGTTGGAAATATAACCTAGGGCACACAACTCTAATGATACATCTTCAGAGCTAGATAATTAGTACTGTGGAGGGATATTTAAAGCTCTCCCTCTTCTCTCTCGGTTTCCAGAACTGGAACCCTATAAATATGCTGGCTACCCCATGCTCATTAAGACCATCACCATGGAGACCTCAGACGACCAGCTGTTCTCCAAGACGTCCGCACTGCTGCCTGCTGCCGCGGAGCTCGCCTTCCACACGGTCAACTGCTCGGCTCTCAACGCCGAGGAGCTGCGGCGAGAGAACGGCATCGAGGTACGTGCGGGCCACAGCTCTCCGGCACTCTTCGACTCATTTTCGGCTGCTCTCGTTATTGCCGGGCGCAACGTACCATAATATATAACGCTTGGGTTTTGGACACTAATGGTTTGAAACCAGCTTTCCCAGGCTGTCAAAGTATCTGTGAAGGGTGTATCGGAGCATGTTGTGGAGGACATGGACACAGCAAGGAGGAGTTTTCTCTACTTGTCTTTGGACATACTAATAAAGGGACTCTTTATCATTCCGAGAAGCTTTGATGTCATTTTGGCTTAGTATTGCCTTCAGAATAGCAATTCTGAATTAACTCCATCAGCATTGACTTTGAAGTAACGCGCAGCATCATTAAAATGTTGCCTCACAAATGCTCGGCTTTTGTCTTGTAGGCTGCCTGATACTGGCAACATTACAGCTAGCTGGCTACGTCATGTCAGGGTTTTGTTATGTTTTGGTGTGTGAAGTAACTACCTTCTTACTTAGAATGCTGGCCACAAGGCCAGTCATCCCCTGTGCATTTCATAGTGTAGTGTCAAACAAATGGCAAAGTTCAGGTGTCTGTGAAGCAGAAGTCCCTTTATTCATATGCATATGGAAGTCTGGCTTGCAACCACCAGACTTAAAAAATAAGTAGCTGAAAATGGTCCTTTATACCTTAAAGCACAAAGAGTTACTATGACATATTCTAAACAAATGATAAAACAGCAACACCTGGCAATTAATTATATCTAAGTTGTAGACTAGTTAGCAGTTAGTTCTTTTCATGTTCTGGGCGTATAGCCAGCTTACCAAATACATGCCCCTTATCTTACTGACCAAGGACAGGCAGCATCTTTATATATATTTGAGCACAAAGCCTACTTCAAGCCACTAGACTGCATAGTTTGCAAAAAACATACAAAAACACGAAAATGATATTACTGTCTCACTTATCTCTTCATTCTTCAATAGGGAACAAGGTTAAAAACCTTTGATTTTTTTTGTAGGTCTTACTGGAGGCTCTGTCTCGATGTGTAGCAGTACTCACTGCTTCAAGCAAACCAGAAGATATGGCAGTTCAGGTATATTGGACTTTAACGTGCTGTTTTCATTTATTTTATCGATTTGTGTTGCACTTTTGTTGCACTTTCCTACTTTAAAATGCAATACATAATTTTAATTGGAGCCTATGAAGTCTGAGAAACTGTTTAGACCATTTACACATTTTCTGCCAATGGGGAATGATATCAAAAGTCAGGGGGAATAATATAGTCTAATGGAAATACTGTGAAAAGTCATTTAATATTACATTTTCAATTAAGAAACAGAAGTACTGTATAAAAAAAGTGATGGGTGCATGTGGCTTATGGGTTAACACCCAGGGAAAATCTAGGCAGTATCCACTTCACATTTGAGGGGTATCTCTTTTTCTTGTTTTTTTCTTCAGTCCTTCTTAATTTTGTATTTTAGGTTTGTGGGCACATATGCAAGTGTTACAGTGTGGCAGCTCAGTTTGAGGAGTGTAGAGAGAAGATCATTGAGCTTCCCAACATCATCAGGGACCTCTGCAGAGTTCTGTATTATGGCAAGGTGAGTATACTGAGTATAAGTGTGATACTGATTAAAGGGTAGTTTTTTTAGTTGCAAAATGAAAGTTCATATTATATGTACAGTAGTTGAAACACCACTGGTACAGCCAAGTTAGAAATATAGAATTATCATGTTGTATTATTTTTACTCTTACTAGGAAATAAATGGGCCTACACCTTGTATTTCTTACTTTAGACTTAAAAAGAACTGTTTTGATCATTAAGAAAGTTGCTTAAATGTTCCCTATTTAAAATTCTAAAATACTCCACATGTATATATATAGTCAACATATACGGCTTCTAAAAATGGTAGAAATGCAAATACAGAAAGCAAATTGCTTTGCAAACGGTATAATCTGCATCCTATCCCATATTTTAAGAATTCTATTAAGTTTACTAAAAGCTGCAGTGACGTTATGAAAACAGTTTTATTTACCTTCAGCTACATTTAAACAAAAACTCAATAGTCTTTCAGTTCAAGTCAAAAGCTGTCCTGAAATTTGCCCTCCTACATACAGTATTATCAGTTTGCCAAGATTCGCAGCTTGAGTAAATTGTACTATGAATCCAAGCAAAGTGTCAAGTTGTGCTTTCTCACACCTTGGCAAGCTGAAATCTTTTTAATTTTGCTAACTACCACATGTGGTAACTCATACGTGATGAGCACATGGTTACCATGTTGCCTTTCTCCCCGTTGACGTGTGATGAGGGTATTCCAAAATCCTGACAGCAAACTTGCCTCCGTCCTGAGGGCTGAGGGCTGAGGGGCTGAGGTCTTGTTTGTGGTCCTGTTGTGCAGAACATCCCCCGAGTGGCTTCCCTGGCTGTGGACTGTGTGAGCTCCTTCGCGGTGGACTTCTTCCTGCAAACGCACATGTATCATGCTGGCGTTCTCTGGCACCTCCTGGGCTACCTCTTCAACTACGACTACACTCTCGAGGAGAGCGGTATCCAGAAGAATGAGGACACCAACCAGCAGGTCAGTTCTCTTTAATGAAAAGAAGAAACACTCGATGTCACAGCTGTAGTTAACAAACCGGCACAGGAGAAAGTCGCTGAATTGAACATGAGGAAAGTTACAAATCTGAGAATCCATTTAGCTGATCTTGCTGGTCTGGTTGGAAATATCCAATAATTCCATCAAAATTTGGCCATCGGTGTCTATACAGTAGCTATAGGAATTGTTCAAGACTTCCACAGCTGTAAAGAAGTGTCTTTAAGGATTTCAAGTAACTGAAGTAACTCCAGTCCTACTCTGTTCCAAGCTAAAAAAGTTCGGTTCCCCAAATCCATGACATTTGGATCAGGACAAGAATTAACAAATGTTTCAATAAGTAAAAGCTTAAGGTATCACTGCATCATATTTAAATTCAGAATAACCAGTATCTGAATTTCTCTTCGTTAATATTCATGG